TGCATCATTTTAAAAAAAAAAAAATTCCCTTTCGTCTATTAAAATGAAGGAGAACCCAACATTCCAAAAAAAAAAAAAAGAAAAAGAAAAAGAAAAGATATCCTTCGGGTTTCACTCCCTTCTTTTCTTGAACGGAAGACTGCACCAAAAAGATTGTAACCAATCCAATCAGATAAGTAAAGGAAGATTTTTTGGATTGTGTTAGGCACAAAACACAAATGATCACTCTCGCCCGCTCAAGGACTTCCAACAGTGGTAGAGAAGCTGCTGAAAAGACAAGTGCTTTCTGGGTGGTAGGACATGAGTATTGGTTAGGAGTGAACAATGATTGAGGAAAAGGTATATGACATAAGTTTCTTAGAGGCCAGAGGGTTATCTGCTATATCCAACGAGTAGTTTTACTGCAAAGGGACTACAAGGACTTGATGTAAATTTCTTGATTCAAGTACATGGTCTTTTTTTCATGATACGTGTATATGTTGTAATTTTGTTATTTTAATAAAAAATATTATATTGAGGAAAGCCTTTAGGTCATAGTCAAATATTTAAATGTAAAGTCTTCATCACTTGTTAGTAGGGTTTGAATCTGGGTAACCTTTTTTTTACAAGTTAACTTATTTATCTTGTCATATTAAAAAAATAAAAAATTTTATATTTTGTACATTAAATTTATTATCCTATTTAGTATTTGGTCAAATTATTCATGTTAAGTTAATTGTCCTACTTAACGACGTATTATTTCTTAATAATTACTCAATTTATTCATATAATTAACCTATGAATGGAGGTTATAAGATTAAGAGCCCTATAAATATGATATGTTTTTATTATTACTATTTTTTTTTTCAATTGAGAAGTTCCTCTATATTCTTCTACTTTCTTACTCTATTTTTCTAACTATTCTTGAGTAAAGAAAGGTGTTATGAGTTAAGTGATTCTAAATTCTTTGGATGGATAAATAGTATAGATCCATTGAGTTTTATTATTAAGTTATAACATCCTAGGTGTGACAGCCCGTGTGTATATTGCTTGCTACGCTAGTAAAATTAGTCCCGTAAAGGTTTGAATCACTTTAAAATAAGTAAATTTTTCATGTTTATTTTTGTGATATTTTCTTAGGTCAAATGAGTAAATTGCCTCTCAAAATTGTTACGTTGAAGCAAATCACCACAAAAAAAAAAAGTTGATGCAATTTGCTACCCCAAATTTCCATTTTCAAGAAAGTGACCCAAATTTAATGGTTGTTGTAAAAATTAAATAAACTATTGCTCTTAAAATCTAATGGAAAGTTAACGGTAATTATTAAATTTGAACTGATTTTTGCGTCAACATTTTTTTTGGTAGCAATTTGCTTCAACACAATAATTTCATGGAAATTTACACCTTTTACCTATTTTCATATTAATATTTCCTCAATAAATTTACTAATTATTATTTTTATTATTTTTTTACTATAATACAACAATGACATGATATAGATATGAAGAAAAATATTCAAAGAACAACAATTTTTAGGCAATTTATTATGCATGCCATGATTAAGCTAAGTCTTTCTAGCAATTTTCTAAAGGGTGAACTATAAAAGCAATCACTCAACTTTATCATAACTCTCAATTTAGTCAATGTCTATCTAAATTTGAAAACTTAGTCACTAACCTTTCTTTTAACGTGTTGTTCATCACCCTTCATTATCTCTAACAAATTCTATTAAGTGATGACATGGGTAATGATGTGGCAATTAGTAAAACAAAAGTACAATCTTGCTACAAAAAATCAACTATCAATACCATAAGACCCTCACATCCTTAAAAATCAACAAACAAATTAGTTTCTAGGCACCACCCAAAAAAATAGTAGCATGCTAATATAAAATTCTTTAATTTTTTTTTATATATTTTAAATATTTTAAATAAAAAAGGTAAGGAGGTATAGAACCCACCCAATTGCATAAATCTAGCATTAAATTTATCCTTTTAATTTTTTTCTATATTTAATTTCTAGCCACTTTCTTTCTCTTCATAACTAATCTTTATATATTTTAACACAAAAGTATAGTGCAATCTGAATTATATTGGATTACACTACATTAACCATTAGATGGGGGTTGAGCCCTTAATATTGGATCCCTCCCTCATTCAATGATCCCTGTTTTACAATCTAGTTTTATAATCTGATGTAGTTTAGATTATAAAACATGGTTCTCATATTTTAATTATTTTGATTCTTAACTCCATAAGATCCTCACATTCTTAATAATCAAAATATTATAATTACTATTACAAGTCTATTTTTTTTTCTTTGTCAGCTATTAATTTTTTTTAGGGAAAATGATTCAAGAACAACTTTTTTATATTATCTTTTAGTATAACTTTACATGTTAATTAAATAATTAATTTTTTAATCATTTGGGAACTGTAATATTGAGTGCTTTTATTTATTAAATAATACATGAAACTTATAGAAAAAAATTATATAAAAAAATTGTCTCTATATCACTTCAATTTTTTTAGCTAAATTGTAATTTTGTTTTATTAAATGCCATGTCATCATGCCACCTTATCATCTATGCCCTTATTTAGTGAAATTTATGAGAGATAACAGAGGGTGATGAACGGCAGCATGTTAAAATAAAGAAAGGTGACTAAAATTTACAAGTTTAGAAGGATAATGACTAAATCGAAAGTCACGATAAAGCTGAGTGATCAGTGCCAGAATTTACCCTTTTCTAAATAGTAACAATTGTGTGGCTTACATGTTCTTGCATCTAGTCTATGAAATGCATGATTTCGTGTTTCGCTTTAACCTTGAATATATTTTCATGTTTATGATTTGTTAGAATTGATATTCAATAATCACTATATCAATTTCGGTTACACTTCTTAGAACCCGATTTTTCAATTTAATGATAATGCAATGTTGCTTGCAAACAGAAAATTTTTTCGGATGATGACGGCGAAAAAGAATAAAAAAAATCGTATGATTGCACATTTCAAAATTCTGACCGAATTTGCCTCCTGCATTGAAAGAATCAAAAAGCGATTGTTACCCCTTTTTTTTTTTTTTTTTTTTTTTTT